TGATTTTACGATTGCAGCATATATTTGCTGTCTGCACTATTAATATAATGCCGACTTTAGTTATTATTCACTGTGGTTAGGATACACTGAAAACAAGTACCCGAAAGCACATGAAATATCTATCTAGCAGAAGAGCAAATAACGGTTTGTTAGAAACTTACGCCCTGGCGTTATACAACGAATGTGTTTGAAATTTAACAAGAGAATGGGGAAGTAAGGAAAATATTTAATTTCATTGCTTTAGGGAAAATCATTCCTTTAATTAAGAGAAAGTGTTTCACAAAAATACGAAAAAGTTGCTAATTAAAGTTACAAAGGAACAATATCGGACAGTATCATTACTTGTAAACTAAATCGTCGAAAACATTGAACAGAAGAATAGAATCAAGGGAAAAACTTTTCTTGTACAATCTGCATTTATAATAATTTCGCAGATCCTTCTACCTATAATAGATCTCTATATTTAGTAATTTTAAATAGGTCTAAAGTGGGTGTATTGATAGAGTGCCACAATAGTCCACAAATTGGACATGTATAAAAATTAAAGTAAAGTCGACACGTGATCTTTTGTCCTTATATTGATTTAAACTTTTTGTGTGAAATTTTCCACAATGAATATCCGATCATTCATCTGTGTCACAGGTTGGTCCCAATGTTGATAACATATGAACACTTCATAAGCAGTACCGAAAAGTGGGTGATGATATTAGGCTCTGTAGCATCAGTTTTGGCAATAAGCACCATAAGCATCAGATATAATAGATAATATTATAAAGTATATGGAATGGGTTTGTTGATGAAGGACTCTATTCTTTCAGCTCGGCCTGAAGATGACATTATCGTCGAAATCGATAGCCGTTAGAAAATAAACAATTTTTGAGTCTCAATTAATTTTCATCATATATATGGAATGGGCTTTCGAGAAACAACTTTAACGCTACGGACGGAGGATTATTCAGAAATAAATCCTACGCGAGCATTATAAATTTTATAACAAAACTTTTACAATGACGTGGTTCTGATTCATTATCGAATAATTAATTTAGGATAACTTTATATATGGAGATGAAAATCTGAAAGAACAATGCAGGTGCTGCGGCAGATGTGGGTAATCCGATTATTTGTCTGCCGCCTCAGATGTTGCTTTATATGTTTACTTTTTAAGAGTTTTTGTTTTATCTCTAGAGATACGTACCGAATATTGCGAGGTAGCCGTTTGTTGTCACGCGACATTTGTCTAAAGCTCAAGCTGTATTTTGAGGAAACCTTGTGAAACTACAAAGTTTTATCTTGTGCTTCAATGTACGTTAACACTAATTCCGCATTTACTTCTATCGAATGTATCCGTTTGTCTATTTTATTTTTTCCCTGTTTTTTTGTCCAACTGTTTGCCAATCTCAGATACTGCTCATTAATCACAGAATTTCTTTCTAAATGAATAAAACACGAAAAACTGAAAACCTGCCTATGCTCTTTGGGTAAGGAAATGATCCCACAAACAGCTACGCAAAGCTTCAGGCTGCTTTTGACCATAAATAATTTAGTGCTATTGTGGCCATTTTGACCGTTCGTCTGTCCGTCCGTCTGTACGTCCGGTCGCTACTAGATCTTTATCTTAAGAGCTATTGTTCTACTTTTTTCTCCATTTGGTTCGTTATGGTGTCGACTGTCGAGGTTTGGACCAAGAAAGGAATATTTTCTGCGTTTATTACTAAAAAACTTATAGTAAAAAATCAATTTTTTAATGTATCATAATTTTACACTTGGCAAAAGTGTAAAATGATTCCCCAGATCGTTAATAATTTTGTATTGTCTACCATCTATCTGTTGTCTGTCTGTCTCTTGTCTGCCTGCCTGTCCGTCTGTCTGCCTGTGTGCACGATAACTTACTTATTTCTTTGTGATATTACAAGAATTATAATATTATGAATGTCCGGTTTTCTGTGTTAGTAAATATTCCTCAAACCTCAAGTAACTATTCAGACAAATTAAAAAAAATTGCGCATGCGCCCCCCAGATTTAGTATTTGCGCAATCCAATGTTTGTATTTGGTGCTATTTAAACGAAATTTTGTATGTAGGCACCTCAACTAATACCGAATGAAATAATTTATTTTGGGCCTGCGCAATCCAATTTTTTTTGTTTGTTAAGATATTTAAAGTATATTTTGAATATAGGCACATCGAAAAAAGTAAAACTAATATCAAATTAAAAAATATGTTTTACAAAGCTATGCTGATCTGGTGGGACAGAATCAACCCATTATGGTGTGTTGTAAAATTCATGGATGCGTGAAAATTTCGAGCATTGTTCGGTATTTAGTTGTATCAGATGCGTCTGTTTATAAATTCTGTACTCTAAGATGATTGTTATAAAATCAAATTGAAATGACATGTCAAAAAATAGATTGAGCAATGAACAGTGCTAACTTTTTCTATTTTCAGACGGATTTTTTTGGTTAAATATGGAAATGCGCTTTTTGTAAATCTTTCACTTTTACTTTTAATTTGTTGGTTTTGAAACCTATATTAATAGAGCATATTATTTAAGTTAAAATTTAAAAGATTAATGAAGAAACGTAAAAGGGAGATCTAAGTAAGGGTCATGTTTATAATTACTTGCTTTTAAGGACTATTTGTTTCTGTTTAAGATGCCAAAATAAATATTCGATACATTTAAGAAGTAATGTAAAAAGAATTAGTATAAAATTCAACGTAAAATCTTTCAAGTGGTATAGTCTTCTGGGATTTAATCAATTTTAAAGTTGTGATATAAATGGGAATGTGTAGCCTGTTGAATTTGGCCTAGATTCAAGGTTCGTTTTTTTGTTCAAAAATTTAATTTTTATTCCATAATTTCAATATACCAATCCGCTCAAATTCAAGGGCCCATTTATTGTAGGTACTTTTTCTTTTATATAAAAAGTGTATTAAAAATTGTTCAGGTCTGTATGTAAATGCAGGGTGAAAATGTTGCCTGGAACACTGAATATACCTTCACAACAACGTTTTTTTAAAAGACGCTTTTTATTTTATTCAAAAATATAATAAGTTTGCTACCAATCTACGTACTCTAAATTTGTGATCAGAGCACCACTAGGTACTGTTTATTACATATGTACACTTTTTTGGATATAGCAGCATACGAGTATAAAACTTATTCCAATACATAATCAATTTTTACAGAAAAACTCCAATTAAGGAAAATGATTATGTTAATTGATTTTACGAGTTCACGTTGAAAAAAACTTTACTCTTTTGTTAATTATGTGAAAGCAATGTATTCTATATTTGTTAGAAACGTTAGAGTAAATCTACACGTTTTAAAATTATTTACAGTGGCGTGCGTCTACCGAGGCGTCTACAGATCTAAGAGCAACATCTTTTAATCGAAAGCACTATTTTAGTGAGTTATTATTAAGAATATACTTTTTTAATATATTGGCAACATAAAAAACATGCTCAAACTAATAAAATTATGAAATCAATTAACGAACTATTTCCTTGATTCCTTGATCAGAGTTTTTCTGTTAAATTTGTTTATGTAATATAATGCGTTTTTTATGTTGCTATATCCAAACATGGAATATGTAATGAAAACTAGTGGTTGCCATTTCAACAAAAATATGCTCCCTTTGAAAATGTAGAGGTACGCCACTGGCCACAAATTCATAGTACGTAGACTGGTAACAGATTTTGGATACTATAAAAAGCTTCTTTAAAAAATTTTGATTTGAAGAAATATTCAGTGTTCCAGACAACATTTTCACACTGTACATGCTGTTATATAAACAAAGTCAAGGCGAACGTTGATGTTTCGTACAGACGCCTGAATTAATAACGTGTCATTAATTGTTAGTTAAATTTTTCTCTCAAATTATTTAATTAGTTTGGTAAGGTTTTACGGTTAAACACACAATGATTATTGCGTTTCTAGTTGTATCCAAGCGCTTTGTTTTTCCTTGTAAAAAGTAATTCCTAGAATTGTTAAATCTAGGGCAATTTATCGTTTATTTTGGTATCAAATTATTTAAGTGACAGCTCTGTTTGAATTTATGGGCATTTTATTTGCTTTTGTTAGAAAGTTGATGCAATTTATTAGCGATAAGAGTGCGTTTTAATCAGCAAAAACTGCGTTTTTCGTAGAAAAGTGTTATCTGACTGAGATAAGAGAATCCGGCGTAAAAATTTGGGTCGTGACATAAGGAGGAACAAAAAACGGATGCACGATTGGCTGTTGTGTTGCTACGTGTTCGATAAAAGGAAGAAGAGAATCGAGTTTTGGAAAGTAGGAGAGGGACTTTAAATACTGATTTTTTTTGAATAAATATGATTATTATTATTGTTATATAGTTACGTTCAGACTTTTTGACGTTACTGATAAAGTTGCTGCTCGTAATGTTCGCACTACTTAATAATGGTGGACGATTCTTGTGGTAGGTATCAAATTTTTGTGAGATTCACTTGTAACCGTCATGAAGAAATGTAGAAGCATATTAAGAACACAAGCGTCTCCTTTTTCTGTTTATCATTATTTATTTCGAGTCACTTGTGCGTGTTTGTGTTTTAATTCAAAAATAGGGACGATATAGCTTTCTCTCACTGATTTCGAATAAACCGTGGGGATTTTCTTGAGCCCTCTGACTCATTATCGACTGGACTGATTAGACTATGATTTATGAATGATGTCTTTTAATGTTTATTTAAAATATTATCTCGGGGGGTAGTGAGAAGACAACCTAATATTCGGAAGTCTCACCGTTCGTGGAAATGATAGAAAATCCCTTGAAATTCACCGTACTACCCCTAATAATCCTACTCCTGAAGCAACGCACACAAAATCAAATAGAACTAAATTGATTCTTGCGATCTACAACCACCATTCATTATCCGCAATTATCGCATTGGATAAAAAAACTAATCTGGTTGAAGCGTTCTAAGAATACGTAATTACGTAAGAAGTCGCATTTAATTTGTGATATAACCGCGAAGTAAATAAGGTTAGGTACAGTGTCCTATAATTTGTGTAACTTTAATTTCGGAGACTTCTCGTTCGCACGGAAAGTAAGACAAGTGTAACAGGTGCAAGTTTTTATTATATTCCAAATTACCTGTTCTGGATGCAGCTGTTTCTAACGACACACGCTTGGGTAATCCTTGAAAAGTTCTTTGTGAAATTTCTATTGTTCTGTTAAAATTTTCATTGGTTCCCATTTTCTCTAGTTGTTGAAGGTGGTAGTCCGAAGTAAGCTAGAAAATACGAACCTCAATTATTGATTTGGTATTAATTTTAGAAAGGTGCTTAGCATTCTCGAATAATTCCCACGAAATTAGTATTCTAGTTGGAAGATTTTACATGTAATAGGGTTAGAGATTACAGATAACATTAACTAGAGTAGTTTGTGGCCTGTTTTAAATCATGGAAATGTATGTATTCGGTATGTATTTCATTAGGCTGAACATAACCGGACGTCCCTTTAGGAGTACAGTCCCAAAGCAAGCATGAGATTTTCGATTACATGGATAATGCCTCGTAAAAGTAAATATTAAATTCGTACATTGCTTTATAAACTCCCAAAAATCCTAAGTAAAAAAGTAAGGTGGGTCGTGTAATGATTTCCATATAGAAGGCCATTTCACCCTTCCGTGTGAATTTTAGGGTTTACGCATTTTTGTATCGAGTAGCAAAAAACAGCTTAGATATTACAAATGTTCATCTTCACCACAACAAACAACCTTCCACCGTTTATTAGGTCCAAATGTAGTTCCCTCGCCGACAAACAAGTAAACATTCTATATCACTTCTCATGTCGTCGTCTAACCGATACCCAGATTGGCCTGGAACAGTCTATTCAGGTCTCAGCAAATGGTACTTATATTTCAAATCTTATATTGCATTCCATACAATCACGTCATACCGTCTTCATCAATTTCTTGAGTGCGATAACAAAATATTTCTGTCTGACGTCATTAAATACTCTCCCCCTACCCATATTATTTGCCTTCTGATGGTAGTATTCAATCATTCGTGTAATTATTTGCCTAGAGTCAAGTATAACTGGATTCTTACTCCCCATCATCCAACCGACCTCCGACGCATATTGACCGTTCTTCATTTCTGGTGCCAGGTTATAGTCTTCTCTTCTTGGATTTTCTGTATTCGGAATCCCTCACATTTTTCAATTTCAATTTTCAATTCCTGTCCTCTAGCAGGTCTAATAAATCTTTTTTCCTACGCCGTTACTCTAACCAATCTAGTACAATTCGTTACTCCTTTCATCTCTAGCTCTTTTGGATTTATTTTTCGAATATTCTCCTGTGAGATTTTCTTTAACGGTGAATTTACCTAAAAAAACTTAAACGAAAACGCTCAGAAGCTAATGCTTCTCTTTTAGTTGGTAAGTGCGTTCCATCCAGAATGTTTTGTTATCTTGTGAAAATTGGATTGAATATGAATTCGTCTCTCTCTCCCTCCCAAAAAAGACCTAAGATCCATTCGATTGCACCGTGATTAGTTTATCCTTGAACTTTAACATCAAGGATCTTCAGTTCACTATTCTTATAGAATGTGGCCTGTAGAATCCATAATTTCAAACAGTTTCAAGATTGGGCTACTAGTTCAAAAGTTACAGCCCTTAGAATTTTAATTTTTTATTGAGAAGTCCAATCGAGAAAGTACGAATTGTTTTGGATTCTACGCACCAAAATTAATAAGGAAAAGTGTTTCCCGATTTTTTTTATTACCTTTGTTCTTCGGGGATTTTCTCGATTACCTCCTTGCAATTTGAATTCCAACCAAAGATAAAATCCTATTTACGTTGATTCCTGTACTTAACGGAACACCGCTACCACAATAAAATAATCTCCTTACTCAAGATCTTTCAAAAACATCGCCAATCAGAATTAGACTTGATAACGTCAGCTTTGAAAAAATGCATGCGCGTGCCCCCACTTCGCCTCGTCAAAATACCTTCATTCTCAATGCGCGAAATTGAACTTCGCGCTCTTTTTATATAAATAACTATTTGTTTAATTGTTATTTGTTTAATATATTACCAAACCAACCTATTACTTCCGAGGGTTAACAAATGTTATGGGGCGAATCCTACGGCGCGAATTTGTCGCGGCGAATTTTTCGAAGGAAAATTTGTTGGGGGCGAATATTCCGGGGGCGAATACTCCGGAGGCGAATATTCCGCGGGCGAATTTACTTAGGGGCGAATATTCCGAGGGCGAGTTTTCGGGGGCGAAGTTACCGGGGCGGGTCTTCCGGGGCGAATTTGCCGCACACCCTTATAAACACCATTTGAAAATCAATTAGTAACAATTATTTGAAAAATAAAATATTCTTTGCGCGTTCTCGTGTTCCTGAAGTGGCGCTATTTACTAAAACTCCTGAAAAATGAAATAAAAGATCAATTCTTAAAAATTCCTCTGAAAAACATTTTTGTGCCCTTTGGCCACAATTCATTCGATATATGTGATAAAATTCTAGCAAAAACAAAAGTTTCTCGCGTGATGAATTTTACCCTGCGCGGATAATTAATGCGCGATCTTGTAGGGTCTGTTAAAACTACACTTATACCAGAAAAGGAATTGTATACGCATAATTGGAGGCGTACATCATTCTAGGCACCGAATTATAATGATATCGTTCCTAGAGAAAGAAATATTATGGTGTAAAGATAGAAGAGCACGGATTAACTATCAACGTTTTATCTTCAAAGACTCTAAACTTTAAAATTAATTATTTCAGTGTAAAAAATTACAAACACCATAATTTCATTACATGCGCCATTTACAAGCTCTCTTTGAAATTTAGTGGCTCTATGTTACATGGATCCGGAGTAAAAAATAAATAGTGGATCTAACTTCACTCCAAAACTCCCTTTCATACTCGGGTATTAAAATATTTAACAGTCTACCACAACACATAAAAGTGAATACGTCAGAAATAAAACTTACAAACGCATTAAAATCTTGGCTAAAAGATCGAGTGATTTATAATATTGAAGAACATTACGAGTATGTTAGAAGTGTTTAACAAATATTTATGATTTGCTTTTTCCTTATTTTCACATGGATTTTATCTTTTGTCTTTGCTTTTTCTGGAATTAGTTTATCTCGTTTATTGAAGTTGAGTATATCATTAGTTCTCTGCTGTTCTTAATACCTTTTCTGGCTTACGCTTTGCTTTTTTTTACTGATAAGAGTTTTACTTTATTTTACCTTATATATTTCTTTTGTACTTAAGTAAAGTTAGGAAGAAATATTATAATTATATTATTGTTATTTGCTAAAAATTGATTTAAATTTAAACATTGACATTTGAGATCTAGATATTACAGTGTCCTATTTTAATATTTTGAGATCATTTATTAAATTACCCTCGATTCTTTTTTATGTTCTATCCCTGTCAATTATTTTATTTTTTTAGCTTATCAAAACCAGAACAAAGATATCATAGTCTGCCTTGTTTCCCTTTTAGGTGAGTATTCTATTTTCTCTTTTGAAATTTACTAAATACAATTTATATTACTACATTTCCCTTCACTTCCTCTCATTTTTGCTAGTGTCCAAGAATTTCATTATATATCCCGACCCACCCTTACTTTGCCTGAGCTTACTCATGTGTGGAACTTGTTTGGTTGAAGTGAAAGGAGAAACACGTAATTTCTGTGCTGCGTGAGTTAAACGAGTTCAAAGTTACTTAAACCGTACTTTTAATACTAAAATTCTAAAGCTGTAAAGAAATGCTAGTGCAGGGTGCATGGTGAAATGCTCAGGTGGATAATCAGTGATCTAATAAAAGAATAATTAGCGTTTAATGTACGTGAATCGATTTACCTGAATACGTTAGCTTTTGTGGATAAGATAAGCGCTCGTAAATATCAATTCATACAAATAAATAAATAATATTTAAAGTTGCAGTTTTGTTAATAATTGCAAATAACAATGGGAAGCGATCCTAGTGAATTAGTTAAATTGTTTGAAGGTTTTTAAATTGGAGATGAGAAAAACGATTAGAGATGAAATTGGTAAGCTCAACATACCGGCTTTATTAGAAGGGCAGAAACAAAAATACGAGGAATTAAAAAGTGATAACAAGGAATTGCATGAAACCATCCAAAAGCAAAAAAGAATCATTGAAAATCTAAGAAGGGACAACAATTTAGTTTTTTTCGGAATTCGAGATAGCGGCGCCGAAAATATAGAAGCTTTGGAAAATACCATTCAAGACCTATGTAACAATGTAGTGGAGGTTACAACAACGTCCGATAATATTAACTACGTTCGACGTTTAGGGAGAAATGAGAACAGAAATCGGCCGGTGGTTGTGTCATTCGTTTCCAATATCCATAAGAGAAAAGTTTTAAGGAACGCAAAGAAGTTGAAAGGTAGTACGATATACGTCACGGAAGATCTAGACGAAGAACAGCGTAAACGCAAAAAGAAAATGATCCAAATTAGAAATTATCATAGAGAATCGGGTCAGGCTTGTCAACTAAGGAAGAATGGATTATTGATTAACGGAAGATTCATCCATTGCCAAGAGCTACAGGGAGATCAAACGGCGCCATGCATCGAACCAACTCTTGAAAAGGATTACAGAGAAACATCCATAAGGAAAGAAGCCAAAAGTACGAAGAAACGGAAGATCAACAAAGAACCACCGTTGCTTACTCAACCACAGATGCGCGAGTCCCGAAGCCACTCCGAATCTACACCTTCAACCTCCAGCAGAAAAATTCAAGAGTGATCCAATAGAAATAGGTATTTCAACGGAATAAACATTTTGGTGTATAATGTTGCGGGACTAAAGAGTAAGTTGCATAATTTTGTTTTTGAGTTTATAGATTTTTTAAGACAATTCGAAATATTTCTGTTATTTGTGTGGAGGAATGCAATTTTATGACAGTGAAATATATTAAAGGAGTTATAATTTTTAAATAATAGATATTTGTTGCATAAAATATTTGAATGGTCAAGAATACTTATTAGTGAATTTTTGTCAGCTGAGAAATATAGATTTTCATAGATCTATTAATTAGTAATTTAGTAACTATGTTTTTTTTTTCAACAAGTCTTTCAGACGGTCAGTATGACCATGAATACGTCCACTAAGTTTATATTTATTTAATGCATCACATTGTAGTTTATTTGAATAAAGACTGTTATTATTATTATGGTCGGTGTTTCTTGTGAGAACTCAGGTCTAGCCTGGTTAACTAATCGCACGGATTAAAATCAAGTAACGATTAGTGTCTGTGTCTGTGTCTGGTGAAGTTATGTAGGGTCCTTAAAAAAAAAAAAAAAAAATCACACACGTACATTGGACATCTAGGGATAATGTAATTCGTACTTACCAACATACCTATTGATGGGCACAATAGCCAACGCTATCAGGAAAGAGGAAAACAAAACAAAAAAAAAAATCATTATAATAATTCCTGTAATTTTATTAAATGGAGTTTATTGTGTAAGTGTTTCTTTGGCTTTGCGTTTGGGTTGAATACGAGTGGGTTGTGATAACCTGGTGTGTTGCTGTGAAGAAGGAGTTTTGTGTTTTTTATTTGTATTTATGGTGTTTCTTTGTTCCTGAGGTCGTATTTGTGAGGTTGCTTGGGTTTTTGGTGGAGATATTGCAGTATTTTGTGAGCCTGTGGTGCTGTTAAGGTTTTTGCGTTTCGGTTGTATACGAGTGGGTTGTTTCTGAGAAGAAGGAGTATTGTGTTTTTTAACTGTGCTAGGGCGTGTAACTTTATTGGATGGACCTGTCTTTGTAGTAAATGTTGCGTTACTTGTGTTTATGGTGTTTCTTTGTTCTTGAGGTTGTATTTGTGAGGTTGCTTGGGTTATTGATGGAGATATTACAGTATTTTGTGAGCTAGTAGTGCTGTATAGGTTTTGTTTGGGTTGAATACGAGTGGGTTGTGATAACGTGGTGTGCTTCGGTGAAGAAGGAGTTATGTGTTTTTTAATTGTGCTAGGGCGTGTAACTTTATTGGGTGGACCTGTCTTTGTAGTGCATGTTGCGTTACTTCTATTTATGATGTTTCTTTGTTCTTGAGGTTGTGTTTGTGAAGTTGCTTGGGTTTTTGGTGGAGATATTTTAGTATGTTGTGAGCCTGTAGTTAAGGTTTTTGCGTTGCGGTTGAATACGAGTGGGTTGTGAAAATGTGGTGTGTTTCTGTGAAGAAGGAGTTATGTGTTTTTTAACTGTGCTAGGGCGTGTAATTTTATCGGGTGGACCTGTCTTTGTAGTGCATGTTGCGTTAGTTGTATTTATGGTGTTTCTTTGTTCTTGAGGTTGTATTTGAGAGGTTGCTTGGGTTTTTGCTGGAGATATTTTAGTATGTTGTGAGCCTGTAGTTCTGTTAAGGTTTTCGCGTTTCGGTTGAATACGAGTGGGTTGTGATAATGTGGTGTGCTTCTGTGAAGAAGGAGTTTTGTGTTTTTTAAATGTGCTAGGGCGTGTAACTTTATTGGATGGACCTGTCTTTGTAGTGCATGTTGCGTTACTTGTATTTATGGTGTTTCTTTGTTCTTGAAGTTGTATTTCTGTTTTTGCATGGGTTATTGGTGGAGACATTACAGTATTTTGTGAGCCTGTAGTGCTGTTAAGGTTGTTGCGTTTGGGTTGAGTACAAGTGGGTTGTGTTTGTGATAACGTGGTGTGTTTCTGAGAAGAAAGAATATTGTGTTTTTTAGCTGTGCTAGGCCGTGTGGGTGAGGGCGTCTTTGTAGTGCGTGTTGCGTTACTTGTATTTATTGCGTTTGTTTGTTCAGGAAGTTGTGTTTGTGTGGTTGGTTGAGTTAAGTTTGGAAATATTACAGTATGTTGTGTGTCATGTTGTGAGTCTAAAGTGCTGTTTAGGCTTTTGCGTTTGGGTTGAATACTAATGGGTGGTGATAATGTGGTTTGCTTCAGAGGTGAATCTCTGATTGTAGTATATGTTGTATCATTTGTTGTACTTGTTTGTTCGGTAAGTTGTATTTGTGTGTTTGTTTGGGTTAGAGGTGGAGATATTACAGAATGTTGTGTACCGTGTTGTGAGGGAGTGCTGTTGTTTACATGTATACGTTGTGGATCATTTCTGTATGTAGTATCTTGTGTTATGTTTAGAAATTTACGAACAATATGGCATGTGTTGATAATGACTGCTTTTTGTAAATGTTTGTATGTGTTTTTGTCTAAACCTAATAGTTGTAAATTGTGGTGTATTGTCTTTGGTATAACTCCAGTAGCACTAAGAATAATGGGAACTATAACAGTAAATTTCATTCTCCATTGCGTCTTAAGCTCGATAGCTATATCGGTGTATTTGCGGTGTTTTTCTGCATGTGTTTTAGTTAAGTTGTTAGTGTTGGGGATGGCAATGTCTATAATACAAATGGATTTTTGTGTTTTATCTATAAGTGTAATGTCTGTTCTATTATTGTGGATAGTTTTGTCTGTGAGTAGTGTCCTGTCCCAATATAATTTGTGTGTGTTGTTTTCGAGTATGATCTGTGGCGTGTATTTGTAGTATGGTGTCGTATTTGTTATGAGATTGTGTTTAAGTGCTAATTTTTGATGTATGATTTTAGCTACCTGATCGTGTCGATGTTTGTATTCAGTTTGTGCAAGTCGTGTGCATGCCGATATTATATGTTGGATTGTTTCTGATGTTTGGGAACAAAGTCGACAAGAATCATTTGTCACTGTTTTATCTTTATGTATGTGTTTTTTATAGTTGCGTGTGTTAATGACCTGGTCTTGTATTGCTAACATGAAACCCTCAGTTATTATTATTATTATTATTATTATTATTATTATTACTCATGTGTGCTTATTTCGTGGTAATTTTGTTACGTTTGCTCAAAGTCGACGTAAAAAGTAACAAGATACGACGAGTCGCATACGATTTTCAGTAGGAGAATTTTTAACACCAAGTTCGTATTCGGAAACATAATTTTAATCCGACTCATATTCAATAGCACTGATCTTTGAACGTGTATACATCCATTGGCGAAGGTTTGACATTTTTTCGTTAGACGGTAACAGACCGACAAACGGACGTACAGAACCATCACATAAGGTGTTCATTCGAAAAATTTCCCGAACAAACGTATTGCTATTATAGCAAAACTTTAAAGTAATTGAAAACAACTTCCAGAATACTATATCTCGAACTTGGAGTGTCACCAGAAAAAATTAAATTACTCATTAATTTGATGAGCACAAAATTTTAAATTAGTAGCACAAATCGTCCCAAAATGAGCCCAAAATTATGAGATATTTGGAACTTAATTCGTTTCAAGTCGACATTCCACTTCACGGACCCCTAAGTTGGAGGGAAAAATCTGAGCCTCATAACGTTCTTAACATATAAATTTCATTAATTATTTAATTTGCCGTTCTTTATATGAGAGAACTGAAATCCAAGCAATCAAGCCGAGATTTGCACAATTCACACAACTAATCGTTTGCCGGAATTGACAAACAAGGAAATATTTATGAGCTTTTACTAAGAATGTGCTCAAATATTTACAATTCTGGATTAAAAGGGATGGCTTCGTTGAAATTAATTTTCCGCGGAAGGGATAATCGAACATTTTCATTTCGGTGTAGGTATAAGGATTAATTTTCAAACGTTCGTTAATAAAGGAGTGTTTTATGTGAATATTTTTATGGGATTTGTTTTGAAGACGTTGAGAATTTAAATGTAATAAAAAAAGTAAATGCGCACAAGAACTTTCCAAGCACCCAATATTGAAAGCGAAGTTTATCCCACTAAACAAGATCACTTTACAGATCCTTTGGAATCGCCGAAATAGAATCGAAGAGGAACTAATGAATATTACATCAGCGGTATCCAACAACATGAAACTATGACTACAAGTGCGTTTGGAACGTTTGTAAGCAAGAATTAAAAAGAAGTTATCCCTTTTTAGTAGAGAATTATTTTCCACTTTAGTAAGCACACTGACTAAATAAATAACAGATGAAGTATGAAGTCTTTTACAATGACCACAGATAAAATATGTTGAACCTTAAGTACCTAGTATGTAAAACATTGCATTTGGGCGCTACTTTATCCCTAAAGTTTGGAAAACTTACTTCACAAACTAAACGTTAATGAAGTAAATTTAGTAAATGCAACTTACTTGATCCACATAAATCGTTACTGCAAACGGTTGCGTTTGTAGAGTATCGCAAAGTGGCCGATCTCTGGGAAGACATTCCTGGCGTGTGAGCGTTAAAAGTTTAGAAAGCTCCGTAAGACTTCCCTGCAAGCTTTTTCCGGCGCTTCGTGCTTTATTGCAATCTTTTATAAGAGACGCCACCCGAAAGGATAGGTCTGCCGCAACTGTAAAGCCACAAGATGCCTTTATTAATGGGCGCAGTTTATTATTCGAAATTTCCATAAAATTAAGTTTCGAACGAGAGAGAATTAATAAAAACAAAGTTCTCACCAGCGGTTAAGTCGGGGAGTGCTTGAATGGCCGTTTCAATGCCAGTCTCATCATGAAGTGCCTGCCGCAACGGATTTCCTAATAATTGCTCTCCATCTGAAATCATTAAAATTATTTAGAATGCAGCATCCTTTGCCTTTTGACTTTTCAGTTTTGTAGTTCTACACACAATTTATTTGCGTTTATATTGAAAACCTTTTCTCTTTATATATAGGGGTTTTTGGTTCAAAATGTGCCATATTTTTTCTCTGCACGTAGAGCAATTCAATGGAGAAATCATAACAATACAATATTAGCTTTGCATTCGAAATTACACTATTTATAGTACGGTCGTAATAAAAAATACGGCCAACAAAATTATGCGGCTACGTGTTTTGCAGTGCCGATCGATTTCATTGAAATATCAATTAATGTACCTTCCAAGTCCCTGTGTATAGCTTCCGTGGCGATTTGTATGGATGAAGTTGTTACAGATGAAATTTGAAATTGTGTGTTGTCGACAAAGGTTTCAATATCTTCGAACATAATTTTTATTCTGTTTGGAGCGGTCGTCGCTGTTTGTGAGATTTGTTCATTTGCCGTGATCATCAGCGCGATGCTGCCTCTGGAAATGAATTACAAAGTATTTAGGGATGCGTATTTATTTATTCTTATCTAAATTAAATTAATATTATATAGATAACGTTTTCAAAATATCAAGTACTTCTTACTATTATTCAGAACCTCACCTCAGAACTTATAATTTGAACTTTTTTTAGGGGTGCTAAATGAAATTGTAATGCAGACTCCATCCACCTCCTTAGACGGCCGCAAAGCGAATATCAATTTTTCTGGTGATACTAGAGTTTAATCGTTTTCTTTTAAAAGGAATTATAATTTACACTTTTTGTGGGATACAAGGGCGTATTCCACTCCTTAGACGGCCGCTTAGCGAATTCCATTTTATTGGTGATACTGGAGATGAATACTTAGTAACCCTCTAAATGGAATTGTAATTTGAACTTTGACAAAAATTATAAAATGACAATACTTAATTGTCACTAAGAAAACTCAAAACGCTTCATTAATAAGAAATGCTTTGGTTTACGACACAGAATACGGCCTTCTCAGAATAGAAACAGCAATGTTACAAATTTGTATGGTATTTTGGCGGACCCTGGTGGGTGTACTGTGAACTAAAGCTTCAAAATCAGAGTAGCGCCATCTGGTGACCAGCTTCTAAAGCCATGAAGTAGTTTCCCCAATTCGATCTAAATCATAAATATCGATAAAAAATACACAGTTGTTAAATTGCAAGTGTATTTAGATACAATCACATTACATTATTTAACACAGACATCTTAAATTACATGTTTACGAATTACATATAAAACTCAGAAGTAAGTGCAACTTACGCTTTGTAGATGTTAACACTTTGCAAAAAGATCCTTACGTAACGTTTTGTCGTACGAAATATTTGGTTTTAATTGCTGTTTGGAATACATATTTTTGATAAAAAATATCTTTAGAACTAAATTTTTTGTTCCAAGAGGTAATAAAACCGTTTCAGCAAATTGTCACACAAGTTTTTGACAACAAATGATAACTTGATCCTGGTGCTTACTTGTTACTTGAGAAGCGAGAGTGGAAGTTGCTGAATTATCTAAAACGAATTGCAATATAAGTATCTACGTCTATATAAATATAAAACTCAAGTCTACACCCTTTTGCGCCTATAGGTACAGTTGGTAATAATTCTGCGTCAATTTGTACCTGTTACTTACCTTGCATAAATAGGAAAGAAATAACAGCACATTTCAACCCTCTTCGCGTTTCAAGCACAAAACAATATGTTTCAAAATGTGGGAAACGATGCCTCTTTGATATTTTATTGTTACAATCCGCCACATCACACTTTTTACGGTCACATAACTTGTTCATATTTTAAATCTTTCAAAAGTCAAAATTGACATGTGTAAAACCGTGTGTACGTATAAAATCGACGATAAAAATATTTCCTGTAACGAGCAAAATTACAGGTTTTGCAAAAAAATATTTGAGTCTGCGATAAATAGTTCTCCGTACAACCACGGGAAACGCTGTAATCAGTGACAATTTAGCGCCATTTATGTTTCTGTTCTGTGAAGGTCTTATTCTGTGGTTTACGATTTGAATACTTAAATTAAAAGGCAAAGCTTTAAGGTTTTTTGATTCGGCATTAATTTTACCGTTATTCGAGGTGTCTACATACAACATTTCATTGAAATACCTTAAGAAATAAGAAAATTGGATTACGAAAATACAAAAGTTATCATGCAGAACTGCACTCGAACGGACGACGGACAGACTTACAGACGGACGGACTTACAGACGGCGAAACAACATTATAAACGATCTCGAGGATCGTTAATAAACGGAAAAAGTGTAAAAGTATGGTACATGAAAAAAATAGATCTTTTGCCATAACTTCTTTCTTAAGCGGTACAGAAAAAATTCCTTTCTTGGTGCAAGTCTCCACACCATAACGAACCAAATAGCGAAAAAAGGAGAACAATAGCTCTTAAGGTTGTTGCATACGTTTAAACCGCCTATGCAAAATAATGTTCTTTGTTCACTTCCAGAGCAAAAATGAATCATTGAAAGTTCCTGAAATTTGGTACAATGGTTAAGGGCGATGTATATGAGTGAACTATGTTTAGATAACTTTAAAACATAGAAAGTTTACTCAAAAACTAACTTTGAAATTTATGAAATCGTCAGTAAATAAATAGGTGTAAAACAAAAATTGAAAATAACCATTTTCACACATAATGACATAGAATTGCATGAGCTATATTATTTTTAGCAGTAATTGCCAATAAAATTTTAATAAAAAATTGTGTGGTATTGAAATATTCATTTAAAGTCCTATAACCATATATCTACAGGGTGTAGAATTGGTTTATGCTCCATAGGGATTTCAATGGCAATTTCTTTATATTGAAATATTTTTCCCCTAATAAAATGTAAATAATTTTTTTGTAGATTGTAAAATTCTGCGTCTCTTCATGTGCCCATTTGTAATTTTTGGTTGTGGCCTTGTGGGAAATCGGAGAAATTACGGAAATTACAGATTATAATTATAAATCTAATTTTGAAACAAAAATTCGGTTTTTACGCAAAGACTAGGTCCGTTTCATATGTCCGTACGCCTGCGGCTATATTCCAGTAGCGCACCATTTCAACATACTTTAGGGTTTCAGCTAGGATCTATTACGTTCCTATTAATAAATGTATGATATCTATATACATTTTAATTTTAATAATAAACAATAAGGATTATACATGGTAACTACACTTGGTTTAATTGCAAAAAATTCTGGAATGCATTCTTAACGTGTAAATAAAACCATTATAAGCTCATTAACTATTCTCAAGGCGATCCTTTCAAACCCTTATTGCTATGGGGCGTACTTTTCGTATTTGTCCGCTTTTAAATAATGGTTTTCGAAAGGAAATTGCGGTGTTTAAATTTTTCGCTATATGCACACAGTGGCGTATCGTAGGGGGGGGGGGGCAAATGCAAATGATCAGGGCAACTTAAAAAATTTCATTTATTATTTCATACAAATAAAGAATATGTACAATAGTTACATTATAGTACTACTTTTCTGGCTTATTCCAGGTTTGGTTCTCGGGATTTTTCCCGGACACCAAATTAAAATTACACGAACCATGCCGACTTTTGCCGCCTCTATTGAGTGCCGCTCGGGGCACTTGGCCCCTTTTGTCCCCCCTCCCTTTATCCGGCACTGTCTGCTAATAATATCCCGGGGCGCTCTTGAAAATAGCTAAAAGTAGAAAATGGTTAAAAAAATCTTGCGAAAATACATTTACATTTTTCATTCGTAAGAATGACGATGACCATTGCCGGACTTGAAGGTGCCTTATCTGACAAAAACTAAGGCGAAAATACCTGACGAAGAGACTTCTGGTATACATAAAAAAGTTTAAACTTCTGTTCTCAATACTCCAATCTTTTAAACAATGTCTATCAAGCAATTCAAATATCATTATCGCCTTTGACATTCTTGCGTTTCTAGGTTCGACTTCAAAAGCAGTGTTGGGTTTTGACCGCATTACAAGAAAAATTGAAAAAATTATTCTGTCTGTCTGTCTTTATTGTAGTGTGTGTTGTTCATCTGCTACATGGATCATATAGGTATCAAACGAAAGCTTATAGATATAATGTCAAGAGATGAACCCCCTTTCCCCGTAAACAATCGCTCGCTCTAAACGTACTCAAATCCATAAGAAATTTAAACTATCTTTTTGAATAAACGATATGGAACTCAAAATCTCACCAGCTCCTAAAATATAGAGCCGCATACCTTGATAGCGCCCCGGGCGCCAACGAGCTACGCTACGCCACTGTATGCACGGACAATGAAACGGTTTAGTTTATTTATTTTTTCCGGTTTCCCGAATGGGGCAAGACCAATTAAACAGTACTCAAAAATTGTTTTGCGATTTTGCGTTTTACGCCGAAAACGATTGAAAAAATGTATAAAGAGAATGGCAAAATGTAATGCTTCCGAGATTAACAGAATTTTATAAAAAATGTATTCTCCCTAAATTACGTGAAGGCCGAGTCCCCAGAGCAATGAAGATTAGGGACCGTACGTTGGAAAAATTAATTAAAATGCAATTTATGTTATTAATTCTTTTTTTTGACAGTGCAGCCCACTACATTATTTATTATTATTTTATGGACTTTTATGACTTTATAAACATCACATCACAGCATCATAATTTTGAATGCATTAATTGAATTGAGTTATTTACATTATCATTAATGCAATAGTGGTAATTAATTGTAGATACTTTGTCTACTATTACTATCTTTAAAAAATATAACGAAATCAAAAACTTCTTGTACTCTAAACGAATCGCTAGAAGCAGAACTACTTTCTACAATCCAGAAGGAAGCAGCCAAATTGAAGTGGTACATTATGGAAAACGATATGTTTAGCTTTCAACTGGTGGTTGAAATACTGATGAGTAATAGGAAAAAATAGGCTTTGCATTCTATTATATCCCTTCTATGTGTCGAAAACCCCCATACAGGTATACTCTGCCATTTAAGAAAATCCAATTGTGGAAAAGCATGTTCATTCTTGACTTACTAACCCTGGTTCAATTTAGATAAAAAAAAACCTGCAAGAAGATGATTCATTTTATTTATTTTATTTAATAGGGTCGACCATGTGCGTCCCCATTCCTATAGTTTTTATGTGTTTCAGTTACCTTAATTGATTTTGGAAAGCCATGTTGAATTTGTTACACCACTTTTACCCGACTAATAACGGGCGATCAAAAGTGAGTGGCGGTCAAGTCGCGTTTGGAAGTTTCACATGTAAGCAAAAATTCCACTCCCAGCAACTCATTTTTGATAGCATAGCCATAATACTCTTCAGTCGAAGGTTTACTTCCTGTTAATCATAATTTTAAATTACGAAATCCTTTGAACCAGATTGACCTTATTAACGATGGGTCAGATTTACGGTAGCGGTTAAATTACATATTAAATCGTAGGAAAATGCAATTTTTATTCAAGCACCTACTCAACAGATATATTTACAGAAA